AGACATGATCGAGCAGGACCTTTGACTTATCTTCACATGGATGGAACTGGAAAGGAGCCAGGGACTCCTCCCAAGCCCATGTTACCCCTGAGGAACAGATCTTCAAATGACCTTGATTGTATATATAAATTGATTTATTTGGGACAACTCTATGGTCTTAAACACCCAAAAGGAAATTATAACCAAACAATAAAGTGATCAGTATATTTCTTTAAGAGTTCAAGGGCTTACACTTCTCAGACATTAGGCTTAAGTCCATATAAAAATTTATTTAGACAATTAATTATTTCTCATTGCTTATTTTGTTCTGAATCAGAAAGTGCTCCTCAGATGTAAGACTTCAAATCTTGGTCTGCAATACTGTAGTGCCCACCTGTAGCTATGGGAGATCACCCACTATTGTTCTAAAATGATGGATAAATTTGTTTTCTCCCCCTATCTAGAAGCCTTTGAGTGGGAACTGACACTGATTCTAACCATTCCAACAGCTATCAAAATGCCTGAAAGCAAATCCTGAATGAATCCAGCACTCTCAAGTCCAGTCTTGGCAGACAAAAGAAAAATGAGGAGAAACACAATAGAGGGATGCTTTTGGAAACCCTCATCAAGACATTCCAATGGACTCTCATATGAACATTGAAAATTGTCCTGTTTTGACTTTTTACTAGTTCCCTGTCTAGAACTTGTAATGCTACTTACTCTTGCCTTTACTTCTCCTTCACATCTCCTATTTACCAGTCAAGGACTTTCTTTTCCCCCTCCACATAAGAATTTTGCAATTTGGGAGTCTTTTAGATAGACCCACTGAAGGGGTACCCCAGTTGCCTCACTCTGCATCCCTGTTCAGCATGGAATAAGTCAGAGCAGTCTGCATCCTGTTTCCTTGTCTGCAAGCTGGGTAACCTCTTCAGAGGATGGTGTGATAGGAATAGGAGGTAGGAATCAGCTAGGCAGTTAGTGTAAAAAGACACCCTCCAAAGTAGCCAGTTTCTTGGCTAAAAGTCAAAATGTCCTTGGGCCTCTTAGCAACATACTCTGTTCCAAAGGCCAAAAATGTCAAAAGTATTTCAGAGCTCTTATCTAATCCTTAAAATATTTTAGGGTTACCTGTTCAGAGGGGAGAGTGTTAGAGTAGCAAAAAGCCCTATAAAAAAAAATAAATCAAAGAAGAAGAAAGAGTACACGAAGTTATCAGAAAAAGTGATGGGGAAATATGGGAGGAGTTGGGGGGGAAGTGGGCATGGATTTGATCAAAACACCTTATGTGCTTATATGCCTGTATGAAATTCTCAATAAATTATTAAAAATATTTTATTCATTATTTTTATTTTATGTATGTGATGCACCTTTGTTGTGCAATGCCCACAGAAGTCAGAAGAGGGTGTTGGATTCCCCTGCAACTGGAGTTACAGACAGTTGTTAGCAGTCGTTTGAGTGCCAAGAATTTAACTTGGGTCCTCTGCAAAAGTAAAAGCCAGCAATGCTCCTAACCGCTGAACCATCTCTCCAACCCCAGAGTTTTATTTTTTTCAAGTTCAGTAATATCTACAACAGCTAACCTCACATGACAAAACTTACATGCCCCTATCTTCTAATACAGAGCTTAATCATATAAAGTTCTTATAGTTAATGCCTAATTTATATTTCATCCCCTTCCACTACTTTACGCGTCCTGCACACTGCACACCTTGCAGGTCACATCCATCCATACTCTGTGTCTTGTCATCCTACATGCCTTGCCCGTACCCAGTACACATTATCCATATGCCATACCTTCTTCTATGCCATACTTTGATCTCCTGCATCACTTAGATTTCACGCTTCACTCCATTCCTAACATATTCCAAGTTATCCTTCTTTAATGTTCCCTCATTTATCCCAAGGATGTCCTCACTAGCCAGCTTAGGATCACATTGTGCTCATGAAAAATGAAGGAAGCCAGGAAAAGCTTGTTGCTCAGTTCTACTGACCCTAAGCCACACTCACCCCACTTGAATCCATATTACTCACTATCGCTTTTCAGGATCTCTAACTGAAAGATAGAAAGGACTCTCTCTCGCTCGCTTTCTCTCTCTCTGTCTCTCTCCCTCCCTATTTCTCCAACTCTCTCTCTGTCATGAAGTAGGGCAGAATTTATGAAAGTGTTTTTCTGTTTTTAGAATGATCACCTCAAAGCAAACACACACAGAGACACACACACACATACACACACAGAGATAGAAACCCACCCACCCTCGTTTCTTATGATTGAAAGTTTTGTGTGAAACCCCCAGAAATGTAATATTTCTACTCAGCTTCACAAAGCATGGGAGCAAATCTGTTCGCAATGAATTTCCAGAGAAGAAGAGAAAGCAACTGTGAAAATATTCCTCTATCTTAATCTAATTTTTTTTATCCTGCAATTTAAATATGTTTGACTTTTGTTCTTATACTCTTTTCAATAAAAATATCATTACCCACATTTGTGGATTTATATGCTCAAAGCAAAGGCAATTATTTTGGGGACCCCCAGATCCTTTGACATTCATCTATATGTCACAATTACAAAAAATGTATTTAAAGATAATTTGTCATCATTAATAATATAGCTGCTTGTTATCATGAGTATCAAGTGGGAACTGGTTGTGGAGATGATTCAAGATGGAAAGGAATTTTATAAACCATATACTCTACAGAAACACATTGAGGTATGCTTCCTGTTGGGTATACAATCAATTGCAGTGCTGTTTTCAGCCTACCTCCCCAACTCATCCCAAGTTCTGAGAGCCAGTAACTTGTTTATACTAACGTGATCAGGAGCCTGTCAACAGCACTTGGATGTTTTATAATAGCTCTTCCAGCGTTATGATAAAGCCTGGAGTAATGTACTGTACTTGGCAGCAAGTGGTTCAGCTTTTGGGCACATATGCTTCCAATCCGAGAATATCATAGATATATATGGGAATCTTTGTGGAGATCTGTAAGGCAGGCTGGTATTTAACACAAAAACAAACACATTTGGAGCTAAAGCACTCTCCATTAGGCAGTTTGGCGGCTGTTCTATGAGGCAGACTCACGGTGCTTGACTGACACATTTCGATGAAATGCTGCTTTGCATTCTTCCAAAGACGGGAACAATAAGAACGTTTGTCAAAGGAAAAACTGCGGCAAACGACTTCACGTTGAACATCTGTACTCTGCAGTTCATTGTCTGCAAGAGTTTATTGACCATAATTTTGATGCATATAGGTAGGTTTTAAAGAGTATAAAGTGCATTTATTTTAGGTGCCTATCATTTATTTGAGTCTTGGCTTATTTATTTTCATTTTCTAGGCATGTTATTTATTTTTGGACTCTGAGGAGATGAAAGAAAATGTTTCCTTAGAAGAAAGTTTTAGTTTTCTCTGCAAAATTGATGAGGAAAGCCATTTTTTTTACAAAAAGAATTGAGCAATTGAATTTAAAAATGCTAACACTAAACATACTAAATCTTTATGATACCTTTCAGGCATAGAGATCACAAACTAATTCATAAACTTTAAGATCACCCTCCTAACTCTTTGTCTACCATGGTGACATTTCCAGAGTGAAATGCAGCAGCTATTTATTAATCAGCAAAATAATTTAGGGGTAGTAGAGTCCAAAGTTAGTTTATAGTATTGGGAATGTGATCTTAAGTTACTCTCTTTAACTTTATGAATGGATAGTTTGTGAGAAAAATGTAAGCTTTCTTTCTTTTCTTTTTAATTTTTTTTATTTTATTCAGGGAAATCAGGGTCCATGCAATCCAACTTGCTGAAGAAGGGCATTCTGTCAATTGTGACATATTGATAAACTGTTATGCTGATTTGCTATCTCACTCTGAAACATAAATGCATTTCCTGAAGACAGAGAGATACTGACCCCTTAAAAAGACAGCAGTATTTTTATATTTAGTATTTTAATTAAGTCTATGAGAATTTCATTATGGGTACAATATATTTTTATATATTCACTCTTCATCCCAACTTTCCCAACTCATTTTCTAATGTCCTATTTTTAGTCTCTAGGAGTCCAATTAGGTGTTTTACATTTTCTGTAGGACACAGGTGAAGAAAATTGGGGCTGTAGGAGAGTGATAGAAAAATTATGGAAAGTCTCTTGGTGCCTGCAGGTGGGAAAGTTCCAAGATCAAGGCCTGGGTTCTCAGGACCATGTGTGGAGTCAAGACCACAGCTGACCATCAAGGGAGGTGGAAAGTTTATTCCTAAGAATCAGTTCTCTCAAGACTAGAATCTGCAAATGACAGAAACCATCCCTGTTCCCATCATAAGTCTAACAGAGAGGCAAAGCCACTGCCATACACAACTTGGGACCTCAGAGGAGTGGTTAGTGAGGGATGTAGCCACTCTAAGAAGCCTGAAACTGCTGCCTCCATCCTCCAAGCTGTTCCACCATCAGCCCAGTACGGCTACAGGTTCACAGGAAGTTGCCACAGAAGAAGTAAATTCTGGCACAGAGTGGTGATCCACTCCTCTGAGCTAGAATTTATTACTTGATCGGCAAGTTTTGGAGATGCTAAAAGTTGAACCCAGGATGTTGGGTATACCAGACAAGCACTCTCCTATGGACTTACAGCCTCAACCCTGTGATAACACATGCACTGACCAAGCAGCCAAATGAGTGTTATTGGTTAGGACTATAAACTGAACATCCAATAGATTGTTGGCTATATTCTTAACGTGAATCTCATAAATTATTTCATATATTTTATGATATTGTTATATAGATTATACAAAATACTATATATAAAAAACAGTGTTTTGTATATTAAACTTTCAATAAATGCTAGCTGCTATTGTCCTGTTTTGAATTATTTAGTTCTAGGATGTGTCTGAGAAGAATTCACTAGATTAGATGATTTCTGTAATTTTTTAAACAATTTCCTCTATTGTTCAATTTCCTCTCTTCAGAGAAGACTTGAAGACATTGCTCTGGATTGAGTGACTAACAACTACCTTTGGATTTCTGTTCATTCACAGGGTGTACCCAGGCAGAAACACACAATGGTTATGTGAGCTTCTCCGGCTTGGCTGTCTTGATCTCTGGGTCAAACTGGCACTTGGCTTTTACTGTTACTTCTCCTCCAGGTAATTTCAACACAGTGTACTTTTATATCTGTATATTTTGAAAAAAGTATTCCTTTCTGTTTTTACATTGAAATAACCCCTTTCTTGAATAAGAAGATATCACATTTAGAGAAATTCCTTTACCCATATCATCAAGGTATGAGAGAAAGTGCCCACTTGGAAATTATGGCTCAGAAAATACAAGATGAACAAGAAACTAAATGTATACTTCCCTGTGGGTGCTATAGTTATTTTTTATGTCTTTACATTCTCTCTCTCTCTCTCTCTGTCTCATTCCCTCACTTTCCTCTCCTCCCATCTCTCCTTCCCTTTCCTTCTTCCTTTCCTTTCTCCCTTTTTATTTTTTCTATGTCACTTGCACTTGGTAAATAATTCATGAGATAACTTGGCTAATGAGACACTCTCCTTGGGTTTTGTTTTCCCATGCCTTCCCACCTAGAAAATTGAGGCAATAATTATTAACATCCTGGTACTTAAATGCACAGGTAAAAAGTATGTATAAATTATAATATGATCCAGGTATCCTTCATAAAACATTAAAAGATACTTCTCTGGTAAAGTATTAAATGTGTCTCAGATGAAAATATATAATGATCACCTGTCCCTATGTTATTTAATTCATTAATGAGGGAACTATGAGGCTATCAGTCTAAAGAGCTTTTGAGGTATAACATTATGTAGCCAGAAGAGAAATGTGGGAAAGCATTTGTCAAATTTATGTAAAAAAAGAAAAGCATAATCGTTAAGTTACATGTCCATATACACCATTTGTATCTGTCCTGGACCAAATGATTTGTAGCTTATCAATGTTCTACAAATTAATATATTGGAGTCCTGATTAATGCTAAATATTGGCATATTCTTGGTAAACATAGTTACTCAGGAGGCTGGTGCTTTGGGGACAAGCTTGGACAATCTAGAGAAAACACATTTTTTAAAAAAAGAAATAGGGGGCTGGAGTGTTGACAGCATTTAAGAACACTGGCTGCTTTTGCCGAGGACCTGGGTTTGATTCCCAGTACGCACATGGCCAACAACCATCCATAACTCCAATTCCAGGGATCCAACACCCTCTTCTATGGGCATTACATAACATGGGTGCACTTTTACACATGCAGGCAATAAAATCATACACATAAAATAAAAACATAAATAAATATTAAATAAAAAGAAATAGTGTTGTAGGGGCTGGGCATTTAGTCAGTGGTTAAGAGCACTGATTGCTCTTTCAGAAGACCCAGGTTCAGTTCGCATTACCCATATGGCAGCTAACAACTGTCCATAACCCCATTTCCAGGGGATCCAGCATCCTCCTCTGACCTGTGTGGGAATTGCATTACATACATACAGACAATACACTCATATATAAAAATAAACCAATCAATAAAATAAAAACTATTGTAGAGAATTTGATAAGTTGTGTATAAGCCTGTTTGAAAAATGCTTCACTGTAGTATTTGTAAGATCTTCAATCAACTTACTTTAATTCCAAGTTTAAGAACATTTTTTTCTCAACAAAAAATACTGCCTTCTGATGTTATACCTGAAGCGTTGACTCCAGGTCCTTATAGAGGAAGGCAACCAGGGTCAGGGAGGGAGGGGGAGGGAGAGAGAGAAGGAGGGAAGGAGGGGGAGAGAGAGAGTCAGACTCAAAGGGCATTGGGTAGTTTGTCCCAGATTTGTCTGACATGACTTTTGTCCTTTAGTTTCTTCAGTGGTTCACTAAAACCAGTTGTATTCTTCATCAAGGATAATTTAGGAAATAGTTATAAAGCAGAACCACACATGATCATGGCATTTCATTGATAGATCTCTATTTTGTTTAAAACTTGCAGATTGTTAGCCACTATGTGGGTGCTGGGACTCGAACCTGGGTCTTCTGCAAGAGCAGTCAATGCTCTTAACCTCTGAGCCATCTCTCCAGCACAACCATCCGTAACTCCAGTTCCAGGGGAATCTGATGCCTTCTTCTGACCTCCACAGGCATTATATGACACGGATACACTTACACACATGCAGGCAATATACTCATAAACATAAAAATAATGAATAAAAAGTTAAAAAAAAACTTGTAGATTAAGGAATTACCTTGAAATTTTTTCCTTAAATTTTTCTTCATAATTTTCAAAACTAAGTCTCTGAGGTGAGACTGTATAAGGAGATTTTAACAAGAGTTTAATTCTAAATGAATAGGCAGACAACTAAAAAGGACAAAAACTCCAAAATATTGAATGGTTTCTACATCTTTGACCACCTACTGACACTTGCTGATTCTAAGAATGATGTTCTGTTGCCCAAGCCCAGCATATCAATGTTCAGTGCTGGGATATTTGGAAAATAGCCGTTATTTACACATTTCAGCCAATCAATAAATTCTAGAAGACTTTAAAATAATGGGTCTGGTGATTACTGATTCACAATAATATTTCATTCATACATGAATAAAACAAGGAACACACAATCATTTTCCTATTCTTTCATTTCTATCTAATTTCTTAGGCAGAGGAAAAAGTAACTATTCCTGTTTGGGAAATGTAAGTATGGAGAAACTGAGATGTTGGTGAGATCTGATGTGTCTGTATGGAATTCTCTTGAGTCTTTCTTATTTGTTAATGAATGAAGCTCACCGGGACACTGATAGCAGACTGAAATGACTGGAAGTTAATGGTCCACATTCCCTGTCATCTCTGTGGCCTGGATTGTGGTTCTTCTGACTGTTTTCTGGAGTCATGAAGTTCCCAGGAGACTGCTGGTTGAATCAGGGGAGGAAGGAGTTTCTGCCTTCCTCTATCTCACTTAATCTAAATAAATTCTACTTGTAATTGTCATTTCTTTGAAAGATCGTTTCACATGGCTTATTCATCAAATTTCTTTTCAAAAGTCATATCCTCTGAGAGTCCTATTTGGATGACCCAGCCAATAATATCTCCGTCTGATACCCTTCTTCCACTGACAGTTAATTTTGCTTTCTATTCTCACTTTAGATTTCTTCCTAGAACTTATCATTATAGAGTATGTGCATTTTCTTCTTTGTCTAAAGCTTGTGTGCTAGATACCCTGTTAGAACCTAGATTCACAGAGGGAAGAAATAATGTTTAGTTCATCACTCGAGCACTATATTCTCAGGGTATGGAAATGCCAAGCACAAATAAATACTTGCTTATGGAAAAGTGAGGGTATTGAGACTTCTTTTAAGGTTGTAGTGTTAAAAATTGTGCCACTGCTAAAAATTCTTGAGTGTCTGGGATCTCTACCATTAACTTGGGCTATCTCTCTGTTTCCAGATTGATTGCTCTGATTTCAACTTCTCTTCCAGTGTGTGTGTGTGTGTGTGTGTGTGTGTGTGTGTGTGTGTCTCTGTGTGTGTCATATATACCTTATGGACAAGGTATATCCCTTTGACCCATGTCACATCTCAGCTTAGAATCTTTCCTCTATTATAGTTCATTATACTCAGAATATTGTCTAGGGCAATTTATCTGGCACTTAATGCCAACAAATTTTCCTCAAATGCCTTCCAATATTTCATACCAATTTCTGTCTTCTCTGTTTCGTTTATGAATATGCTTGGCCTTTGAAGTCCCACTCAGTCACTCCGTTCTTCAGGATGCTTTCTCTGTTTATAGCAATGGAAAATAATCTTCCCATGCAACACATTTGTGTTTTCCTACTGGAATGTGTCACAATCTGATTTATCTTTACCAATATTTGTCACATATATGCATTGCTCCATTTAATAGTAAAGTAAATTATTTTGTGCCTTTGTCTGATAAATTATAATAGCCTGAGAAACAAATTTTTCAATTTATAAAAAGGAACATAGTTCCAAATAAAGTCTTAGCCTGCTTCTCTCAATGGAATATTCTTGACCTGCCATTGACCACTAAGCATCAGTGTCTGCTACTACTTCTCAAGTTCCCTGATAATATTTTAATGTTAGGATGTCTCCTGGCACTGTAGCTGAAGTCCCTGTAGTCCTGGTTTGCTGTATCACATCCAAACTTGGAGCAAAATCAATGAAGTTCAATTAATACAGTGAAAGTCAATTTTTAAATTTGCCTGTTTTTAAATCCAAAGTTCTAGATCTGCAGAGTTGGCACATCAGTTAAAAGCACTTTCTGTTCTTGCAAAGGACTTGAGTTTAGTTCTAGCACCCACATGTGGTGGCCCACAACCACCTGTAACTCCAGTTCAATGGTATTTGAGATCCTCTTCTGCCCTCTGCCAGAAAATCACATATAATGCTCATACACACACAGAAACAAACACACATAGACATAAATAAAAAAATATATTTTTTACCTTTTCCTACATTTTAAAAATATATTTTTAGAAGAAGCATATCATTATAGCTTTAACATACCCAATAACAATTTCCAGAGCAAAGACACAGCTCCTTCAAAAGCGGCTATAAAATTTCTAGGTTCGCTGTTAAATCAATACAGTTATGCAATATTGAACTCAGTATAAACCCTGTAAGACATAAAATTGAATGGGTTTTTAACCCTCAAAAGAGATCTCCATTTCATTCTAAAATATACTGTTTCTTACAGAAAGATTCATTGTTTTTGCTACTAAAACTGAGATGTTGGTGCATGCATCTCTAATCTGTATTTATCTGGTTATTACTAGTCATAATCATTTGCACTTGGATCCTTGGCACCTCAGTATATCTATAAAATCATTGGGTAGATTTCAATGGTAATGTTCATTACCTATACTAATTAACATGATGTAAACTTTTATGCTTCTTTCTCAAATATAATGCATTTTAAAAATTTTGATTTTTTTTCTGTGTGTGTATATCACACAGAACATCCCAAACCATCTTATTCAACTATACACCCACTTCCCAGGTAGCACCCTCCCATAGCCTCCCTTCCCCCACTAGAGCTCTTATACTCTGTTATCCCTGCTACTGTCTGCTGTGTTGTCGGGACCCCCAGCCATTCTGCACTCTTGTCCATCTGGTGAATATAGTCAGCCTATCTAGAGGTCTTTGTTTTAGGAAGGTCAACTGTCCCTCATCTAGCAGCAATCAGTTGTCAATATTCCTTTAGATAAGATTTCCCAATATGGAGTTACATGGGCTTGGGAGGAGCACCTGGCTCCTTTCTTTTACCAGTTCCGCCTATATGAAGATAAGGCAAAGGTCTTACTCGACCATGGCTGGCTTCACTTGGAAGCATGGAGGAAATGTTTCCTCCTTGTTGACTGTCCTCATTGTAGACTGGACACTGGTTCATGTCCATCTCGTGGGGGTCTCCTTGGACCCCTTGATCAAGAGGACAGGTGACCCACCACAATTACAAGACATTTTGAGAGATGCTCATAGTTCCCTGGAACTAGTCAACCTAGGAGGGTAAGGAGCAAAAACTGTCCTTTGTGTCCCTCTGACCAAATTAGTATAGGCCTCAAAGTATGTCTGTTAAACATCCAAGGTTAGTTCCAGCAGTCTGGTACTTTTAATTACTGTGTGCCATATAGATAAATCTTGGGCAAAGACCAATTGTTCTCAGATAAAACTTACCTAGACATATATTTCTTAATCTGGTATATATAATTTGTCATTAGGTTGTTAGACTAAAATAGGTCCCTCTGATTTTCAAAACTAGCTAGGAATTATTTATCTCTCACATTGTCTAACCCCTCCATCATAGTTTCCCCAAATAAGGTGCCCCATTTCCCCCCTTTTTTCCCTTACTAATACCCTTCTCCTATGGTCCTACCTTTCTTGAGCTCCTTCTTTCCCTTTATCCCCTAGGTTCCATGTATACCCTTCCCTCCCCCCTCCTTTATAATAACCCAGTTTTTATCCATATCTCCCTTATGGAACAGCTGCTTACCACTGTTCTTCTCTTTCAGGTTATTTCTTTTCCTTTACCTCCCTGGTTCCTTTCCATTATCCGGTTCCTGTAGTTATGTCTGGATACATACTCACAAATCAGGGTTTGGTTCTAGGATCTGCATATGAAGGAGAACATATGTCGATTTTTTTTATGAGTCTGTATTACTTGACTTAGTATAACAGTTTCTAGTTCCATCCATTTACCTGCAAATTTCATGATTTCATCTTTCTTCACTGCTGAGTAAATGAACCACATTTTCATTATCCACTTGTCAATTGAGGGACACTTAGGTTGCTTCCACCTCTTAGCTATTGTGAAAAGAGCCTCAACAATCATGGATGCTCAGGTATCTCTCTCTGCAATAGGATGAGTTCTTTGAGTATATGCCAAAGAGTGGCATAACTGGGTCAAATGGCAGGTTCATTTATAGTTTTTAAAAAGGTCTCCACACTGCTTTCAATAGGGGTTGAACAAATTTCATCCCTACCAGCAGTGGATGAGTGTTCCCTTTTCCCCCACATCCTCTTGAATATTTGGTATCATTTGTTCTCTTGATCTTAGCCAGTCTGACTGGGGTAAGATGAAATCTTAAAGTGCTTTAATTTGCATTTCCTTAATTACAGTCATGTTGAATATCTTTTAATATGTTTCATAGCCATCTTTACTTCTTCTTTTGAGAACTCTCTGTTCAGCTCCTTGGCCCATCTTCTAAATGGGTTACTTCTTATCTTGATTCTCTGTTTTTTGAGTTTGTTATATATTCTGGATATTAAACCTCTGTCGGATGTATCACTGGTGAAGATTTTCTCCCATTCTGTGGGTTTTCTGCTCATTTCCCTGGTTGTCTCCTTTGATGTACAGAAGCTTTTTAGTTTAATGAGGTCCCATTTGTTAATTCATCCCTTGTTTCCTGAGCAATTGATGTCCGGTTTAAAAAATCCTTTCCTACACCTATATCTTGTAGGTTTTCCCCAATGTTTTCTTCTAACAGTTTTAGAGTTCC